CGGTTTATCAGACCAAAAGAAGGGAAATGAAGGCTGATGTGCGTAAGCTATTCATTCTAGGACATTTTGAAACTAGCAAATAAACAAAAACAATTCTTCATACTCCTAAGAATCCAGTCTATGATTTTGTGTATTTATTAAGCATCACTTTAACTTAATGACAATATCAAAAGCCTGAGTTTACTGAGGAAAACACTTTGAAGACAAGAAGACTAGAACCCTAATATACTTCTTTATTAGCCGTGTTCAATTTTAAGGTTTAAGGCAGATTATTCACTTAGAATGTGGAGAATATTAAAAATTCCAATTAGATATTGTGTGACCCTTCTTAAGTATAATTTTATTTTATATTGTTTTTCTCAAATATTTACTGAAAAAAATTAAGGAAGTGATTCTTAGCTCAAAGAATGGGATATTTCAAATAATACCCCACAGATTGAGTTTTTTTCTGTCAAAATAAATGATAGACTTACTTTAAGAAAAATCACATTGTCGTCAGTTACAAGATAAGAGTCCTTCCATGTAGATTTCTCTAAAGGCTAAAATTATAGTAAGGTGAAGTGGTCTAGTCATGATTATGCAAGACAAAGGATTTCTATATAAGAAAACTCACCAAGTAATAAGTACTCACTGAACGTTTGTGAGACTTCTGTTGACTTCTAAACATAGAATAACTTTTCATAGAATTTTAGAGCTACAACAAAGTTAGACAGAAACTCAAGGCCACAAAAACTTAAAGAGCAAGTAAAACACATAAAAAATGCAGAACCCCCAGTTGCTATTTTTTTAGAATTAATAGGCAACCTCTTGCAAGAATGTCAAAGGGAAAAAATACAAAATCTCAAATTGAAAAGGGAACACCATGCACATACAGCTTTGTAAATCATAAGATAAAATAGGAAAAAAGAACTAACACACTTCATATTAAACTTCATCAGGAGTTGACAAATAAAAGTACCATATACTACTTGAATCTCGAGTGAGTTATTCAAGGCTCACCATTTCTACATACATAAGAATTACAGTGTATATGCTAACAAAAGAACAGATAATTCTAACAGCCTTTCCTGGGTGGGGTTCCACTGACTGAACTAAAACATGAAGGGTTCTCACTCTTCTGCCCCAACTACTTCAATTAGAAGAAGAAGAAAAAATTTTAGAGTCTTCCTTGTTAAAGACCTTTTAAATGTCATCCTATTTGAAATACTCACTCCAGGTATTCTATCAATTCTATCAACACAGGATATGTCTTCAAAAAGTTTAGAAAAATATATTATAAAAAGGTATACATGGATTTAAGGCTTTTTTGCACCAAAATGTTTATTTTTCCAACATCATTTTTTTGCAAGTATTTTGATGTCCCTTTTGTGTCTGAAAGAATCTGATAGTGTTATTTTTCAAATGAATAATATTAAATATTAAGTACAATATTTTTTGTTCGGCTTTGCTAATCATTGTGTTGAGAATGCCACTGGCAAACTTCTGAGTCTGGATTTTAAAATATTATAAAAATATACACTTAGCAAAGCTTATTGCATCTTTGTTGCTATTGGCCAATATCCTACGTATGACAAGGATTGTATTAAAACTATTAGCACAAATCCAAATCGGCCAGTAGCTTTACAGAACTTCATTGTAATAAAATATTACCTAGTGTACAATTCTACACAATGTAGTTGAGCAACTAGAAAACTGGAGAACAGCTCCAACGAGAACAAGACGGCTCAAAAATAAGCTACTGCTTTCCTCCTCTTCACCCTTTCTATATTAAGAAACTTGACTGGCTAACTCGGACACAAGATTATTCTATCTGACTTAATCTGTCTACATAAATTTAAGTAATAACTGTTCAGGAAAATGAAATGAACCTTTCAAGTTTTTCAAATTCGAGTGATTGGGTTCCTGCAAGATGAGTGACATGAGGTAGGGGAGTTGAGTTCAAGTCATTCCCTGGAAGCCACCAGTTAGGATATCCCTCAAAAATTCTTTGTCTTCATGGAGAATGCTCGGTGTACTATAAAGCAGCATGAATTTGCTAGGGAACCCATGCCACAGAACAGATAAACACTCCATTGAGGTAATAGTTAGCACGAGACTTTGGTACAGGCAAATGCTCCTCAAGTTCAGGGCTTCCCCTCATGAAGATCTACTTGGGTTTTATTCTAGTCAGACCACAGCACTGGTTGGCTACAATCTTACCTAACTACCAATGAACTTGCAATGGCATATACACAGCCTTAATTGTTTAAATCCCTCACTAACAATTTCCTTGACAATGTAAGAGAAGATTAAAATAAAGAAGCAAATATTACATAATAGTAATAAACTTCTTAACCATCAATGGAGGATATCATATGTTGAAGTAAAACCTTTTAATTGACAGTATATGCTTTGCTGTTTTTCTATTAATAGTATCTAAAGGCATAAAAGCACTACATGAAATAAGACTACTTGCAAGATAAAAATTTCTCTTCAGGTAATGCATCATATATAATCTACTTTATGTGATTTCTTTCCAAAATGCAACCAAATGCTTTGTTTTCTTTAAATAAGGCTTATAGAATACAAGATAATTACCCTTCCAGGAAGACTGCCTTAGTGAAATGTAAGGTAAAGTCAGTGGTCATTCGCTAGCAGGTTCCAAATTTTTGTGTGTGTGTGTGAGAAGCTTCTGTGATTGCCAGAAACAATGTAAATGGTATCAGCACAAAGGGACTTGGTTCACATCATTAAACCTGGTGCTACACAACTGCTCAGTCAATAGAAGTTAGATGGAATTCTTTCACTTCCATATCAGACGGATAAACATACAGAGATCTGCAGTATAGGACTCTTGAAATTAGAACTTAATTATTCATTCCTTTAGAAAACCTGTATTTTGAAATAACAAAGGAACAAATATCGGAGGTGAATAGATCTAGCTGATTTCACATGAAAATATTAAATAGAATAAGCAATACTTGAAAGAGCATCCATGGCTAAATGGTACCAAATCTACAGTCTCCATACAGTATGATGAAGACTGGTGTTTATTACAGCCGTAAACGTTTAATGGCTGATAATTAATCAGCATCCATATTGAATCTTGCAAGATTTAATTAAACATTGCACACTGCAGATGTGAGATTTGGATTACTATTTATAATTACATGTAAAACACATTGCTAATATGGTCATGGAATTTTGAGAAATTTGCAATTTCTTATTTTAAAAAGTTCTTGTTTTGAAATCCTTATTCCATTTTTGTAGTATAAGGCATTTTGACAACAGAAAATGTCAAATGTATATTTGAATATTGGTTCTGAGTGAAAGAATGCTGTTTCAGAAGTAATTTCCTTAGTATATTGATGCCAGAGAGATGAGGATTCTTCAAAAAGTTCATGGAATATGCATATTATGAAAAACATGCATGGATTTCACAATTTTCAAACCAAAGTAAACAAAATTTAATGCTATTTTTCATGAGCTCTTTGAAGTAAACAAGAATAGACTCATGCCTAAACACAAATAATTCAAATAAAAATAGAGTAGCCCAAATCTATCACTAGATGTATACAGTGCTGGGAAGAAAACATGAAAAGGATTTTTCTTCAGTCTCAGCATCAGGTATCTGCATGTCCTTTCCAAAAAGTCAGTGAAGATGTTACAATGCAATACTGATTTAAAGGGAACATTGAAAATTTCATGTGGAAAACCTAATAAAAACTGAGAAATTTTCAGCCTTACTTATTCATTATTAAGACTGTCTTTGGTATTTTCATCCATACGATGTGAGGAAACACAGTGAACATGGAGTGTTTTATAGTTGATTACACAAGTAACTGATTACACATATCATTTAATGCACCTTTCAGAACAGTAACTGCTCAGCATCTAATTTGTGCTACATTACTCCATCACATAGGAAAACAGAAATGGAACGTGCCAAAGACTAAATCCAATTTGTACCGTTCTCCTAACCCGAAGGTCTGTGATGTTTCAGAATCACAATATTTTCAGTGTGCATCTTGTCAGAGCTCTGAGACCAGCAAGGCGAATGGCTACTGTTCTAGCAACTCACAAACAAAGGCTTGAACCTCCATTTTCCTCAGCTCCACAAGCATAAAGGCAGGCACAATTTAGTTTGAGTAAATTATGGGAGTGAATTACACCCTAAAATCTAAATTAATTACCCTGCTCATTCTGTATTAATACTTTCCTTATCACTATTGTCTTGCAAAGTACTACCAAATTCAAAAATCTGCAGGTGGGCTGAGAGGAAAGTATAAACAATATATTCAATGAGAAATAATTTGTCAAATTCTATGTGCTTATTACATGCACATATAGTGCCGTAATTGTCCATGGTACTTTAAAATAGATGAGACAGTCTCAAAGTTCTCATTGAAAGAGAAGATTCTGTTAAAGAAAATAGATGGATTCTAGCAATGGAGCTGTCCAGGGCTCCATATGCGTGTGCTGGTTTCTTATTTACATGTCACTCATGTTTATGCATGTTCAGAAGAATACAGCTGCTACCCCATTCTCCAGAAATCACAGACACCGGTCAAGTCTACAAACAGCCACATTTGAGCTTGTAATGTATTTATCATGAAAAGCTAGAAGCCCTAATGGTAGGGAGGGGGAAAAGCGGCACAATTTACTTTGAAAAGATAACAGACATTTTTCAAAAACAAATACCGTATATTCAATTCGGCTCTCCTTTAGGTGCTTTCATGTTATAGGAATTCTGCTGGTGATGAAAACAGCATCCAGCCAATCAAATGGCGGTACCCTAGTGCCATCCAAAGTAGAAGCCTAGTGTTTAAAATAACCCTGATGAATTATTCATAGAGCTGATGTTTATGCAAATTAGAGAATCATGCATCCACCTGACCACCAAGTGAAGAAAAAAACACAGGGAAAAAAAATCCCCACCATGCTTTTAGCATTCTCCAGAACCTATGTAATCAAATGATAATATTCTTTCATTAAATGCATCAAGGAATTACAATCCTTACCTGGTTAGTTTGTAGGGCCTTCAGATTTTCTGGATGAAATAACTGACTGTGCGTGCAACCAATAAAACTGAACTGAAAAGCTGATTAAGGGCACTTACTTAATGCAAAGCCACTCACTGAATATTCATATGATGCCTGTGTTTATGCAAATTAAAGCAAAAGAAAGCCCAAGGGGATTGGTTGCCATAGCCCACAAATACCGTGTACAGCAGAAAATACAGAGAATAGTGGCAAATAAATCTTGGAATTCCTAGTTTAGAGTAACAAAGGAAAAATAGTGATATATTAAAAAGCCTAGGTGAATTACAGTTTTAAGTGTTTTATTTAATCATACTACTTTAGGACCATCGGCTATTCCTACCATGTAATGATCTATAATTATCTTAATGCCAAAAATACCGTCCCTTGTGTTTGTCAGCTTTATTTATCCTGCAGCCATTTTTATGAGAAGATCCCTTTGGCATAAAAGAGGAAAGGAACAATTACAGGAGAAGTATGACTCAATAAAATAATAACCCAACCCAGGGCTATGTGCTGCCTCATGGTAAGTCTTTGATGTAGTGATCCTTCCATGGTACAATCCTGCTAGGGATTGAGGCATCAATGGAAGACCTCCAACGTTATATCAAGACTCTTGCTTGCTTAGGTTGATAGAGCTGCTTCATTAGAAATGGAGACTATTATTGTTTTAGATGAGACACTGTGAGTCCTCTGGCTGAGATGATCCTGGCATATGCTGTTTTAAATTCCAAGGATTTTCACTGTAGAACCCGAACGCAATCATGTGCTCTGAAATGCATGCTAATATGGAGTGCCCTAATCGCACGAAACAGTGAATCCTCACGAACGTATGCGCGGACCCATTACAGGCGTTGAGGTGATTCGTGGTAGTTAAATGAGACGGTGCATGTCTGCGTCAAGTGCTTCACGTTGTTCAAGATCTTCACTTTTCATTACTTGAATGAGGACTAGACATGGTCAAACATGCTGAGATGTATCTGACAGGGGTTTTGTCTGCTTTTGCCTGTCTTTGTTTTCTGATGCACACCTTCAAAACTTCAAGAATACACATATCCATGGCTGTTACCACTGACTCTTTTTTGTCTTTCAATATTTTCCTAGTTATGCTCACATCCTCACTATATAAACCGTTGGGACTCGCCTCATAGTGAGGTAAGTCTCCAAGTCTTTTTAAGAAAGAAAAATATGTAAAGCAACCTAAGCATGACAATAAAAACTGGCTACATCTATGACTGCTGTAAGGAGTAGATTCATTGTTTTCTTAGGAGGAACTTGGAAAGGGTTTTTTTTCCCTCCTCTGGGACATCTTATGGTTGCCTAATTACAACTTACATGACTGCAAATAGTTTCCTTTTTTTTTTAAGTTGTACGTTACCTCTCCATTCCATGAGGTTAATAGATGAGTATTTATGTACAAATACATACTTTCTATAAGATCACAATAATTCTAATAAATTCTTAAAATTATTTTGCCAAGTTTCCAAATTGACTTGAAATATGGTGTTATTAATATATCTAAAACTAAGGATAAGGTTGGTAAAATTTTAGAAGCTCTGAATTTCCATTACCATTTATTCTTTAATCTACTCATACATCTTGTACAAAATATAGAATAAAATTAACAGATAACAGTATGCCTTCCTTTCTCATCATACCATTTTTTTCTCTATTGATTGAACAAAATATAGAGAAAGTAGACTGATGACTTCTAAAGTTCCTAATTAAAGAATCCTAAATTAAAAGCTCAGACATAATATTTAGGTTAATTAGTGAACAGTTACCATTTATTAGGCATCTCTCTCTTTATAAACATTGTTTTGGGGAAAAATAGGTTTTTTTTAAACATCAAAACTTCCCAACTTTAAGATGTCAGATACAATTTCTTAACCAAGACTAGTTTTTGCCAATTTAAAATGCACTGGCAATGGTTTTGGCTACAATAAAGCTGTGTTCCTTAAAGTACTGCAATTTTTAAAAAATGAAACAACTCAAAGGAAGTGCCACAGGAAAGTCCGAGTATCAGTAATATCATTCTTTGTCTAATTTCTGATATTGTGAGTAGGATTTTTTCTTTTCTAAGATTGAATCTCTTAATCTCTGACCCTTGAACAACTCTGGGCTGTTTCTGACAACTTTAAAATATTTATAAACTGAATCCAAACTGCCCGAGGCCACGGCTGCCTCCGACCTCCTGTCCTTTATCTGTGCAGAGTAGAGCAGCTTTGCTACTGCAGTGAGTGCTGTAAAACCAGTCCATTCCTCAAGAAATGAACCAGTGCTTCTGAGATGGAGTTAGTTGGCTTAAATTATGAATTCACAATTTCCAGGTTCACAATTCATTTCACTACTTTGTAAGCTCAATAAAACCCTAACCAGTTTCTTACTGTTTCTTCCCAAGATTTCATATACAAAGTTCAATTTATTTACCAGAGGGTGAGATTCTTTTGAAGCCAACTCAATGGCTATTATGTAGTTAATCCAAAAAGTGTGAAAGAATACATATATATATAATGAGAGATGCAAATATATATAGAATATGTATACACAAAGCTATTGACAACATAGACAACTAGAAACTATACATAGAATACATATGTAGACAAATGTAGAGTGTAACTACATAGAAAACTAAAATCGGGTTAAGTTGGTAGTCCATTACCAATTTGGACTAGGGATGTGTTTAAAATTAGCTGTCAATATTAAAAATTACAAGATCTTACATGAACAGAAAATGTTATGGTTTCATTTACAAAACAATTTTTTGTTTGTTAGAAAACTAACATGAGTTACACACATGCTGAGCTAACTTTCCCACAAGGTCACAAACTGAGAGCCAGCTAGAGCTGTTCCCTGCCAGTGGGTCCCAAATCCTCACTTTGCCCCCAGCCCTCATCTGGCCACTTCTCTCCTTGATGATGGCCTTGATGGTATCTGAATGTGTGACCTCTTGGCATTTTGAGTTGGAACCATAACATCCTGGATAGTGCTAAAGTCTGAGTGTTTTCAATCCAGTGTGTATGATGTATATATCCTTATATATGGGTACATGTTTAGGTGTTTTTAGGGGTCCAGAATAATAAAGGAATGTGCAGAGGGCAAAGTGCCCTTAAGTAGCCAGGCTGCGTCCATGTGTGGTTTGGATGATTCTGTTTACAACAGATATTAATACGCTATCCTTTTAACAAAAGCACCTTTGTCAAAACATCCCTAATAGAAAAGTCAAAGAAAGCACCAGCATTAATACTTCAGCTGATTTCTCTAAAGACAACTTAAAAATATACTCTGCCCCAACTGTTACCAATATCCTTGTTAGCAAAGACTTGAAAGAAAAGACCCTCAAGTTCTTTCCAATCTTCTCCCTTCAGCTTTCAAACCTCTCCATTCTTGAGCTGTCTGTTTCTTCCCCAAGGATTGCAGTCCTCAAAGTTCCCTCTGCATCTGGGAGTCGAATCTGATCCACTGCCTCTGTCTTATGGGCAAGGCTGAAGAATGTTTTAAGAAGAAGAGAAAAAGCTCTGGGCCACTCCTGCAACCAGCTTCATGCTTTCCTCCGTGAGGCCCCAGCACAAAAACACGACCCTGGTCACCCGTGGTCTTGCAGTGCAGCCTTCCCAAGGTCAGAAGGACTTTGTTCTCCCTGGGTTGGTGGAGACATGCTCTGTTGAACCACTCCCACCTGCAGTAGTTAATAGCTTCAGACTTGGGTCACAACCTACCTAAAGCAGCGTTTCTCTCCTTAGCAGGCCTTGCTCACAAGAGTAGGTAAGAACACTCATGGTAAGATGACACCATTACTTAGTAAGACATTTGGAAGACCGTTTTATTCCTAAAAAAAAAAAAATTCTCCAGAGGAACAAGACAGTTTAAATCAACTTGAGGAGGCTTTGCTGCTTCTTGAACGTTACTTTGATTACACATAAAGATGGGAATCGAGTATACAACTAGTCCCTCTCAAGGTACCCAGAACTGAAACTCAGGCAGAAGTTTCTATTTATCCCTGCTAGTCAGTTTGTGTGGACCGGGCATCAGACTTGGAGAGATGCTCACCTGTGTTCAGTTCTCCTGTGCAAAATTCTTTGCTCTTGATTTTGTTTCTTATAGCTTTAAATTCCTTTTACCGCTGTTACTTCTTTAAGGGATCTGATTGTCTCTTCATTGATGCTAACGTGATGAGTTTACTGGAATGACAGTTGAATAAATAATAAAAGGGCCAGTGGCAGTGGCAATCTGGTCCAAATGGATCATGCCTCAAAACACCCGTCAGATCACACAAAATAAAGAAGTATAGCCACACCGATGGTGATTCCAGTGGCACCTAGTTGGAGCCTAAAAATAAGGAGACACCATTAGAGTTAATTCATTTAGAAAAAAAAATCTTCAGAACTCAAAGTAGACTAACTTTAGAGAGGGAATGAAGAATGTCTAATTTTGCCTTGATTTAACCTATGGTTCAGTACTTGTGTGGGCGACACTGTTGCAGCCAGAGTCTGATTTCTGAAAGTAACTTCAGAGCTCAACGTTTTGAGAAAAATACCTGCAAAATACTAAACAACTTCTGCCTGAAACTTGCATTCTACTGCAAGAAAGCTTCTGCCCGAAACTTGCATTCTACTGCAAGAAAGCTTCTGCCCCATGTTTGTTGAAATCTGATAACTTTTGCATCATGATATCTCCTCTTCATTGCCATAACTTAGATGTCCTATTTTTCATCTTACATTTAATTACTTAAATGTTTAATTTATGACACCCAACTTACAAATCTTGGTGGTTTCAACCTCCATTTTTCCATACTTTGCAACATTCTAGGTACAGTGCCCTTACTCTAAACAGCTGCAGTTCCATTTCTAAGCACTTCAAAACTTATCACTTAGAATATTTCTACACCTTTTTAATGCACCAGAATTCTCAAATCTTTATTGAATATTTACTGTGCACGATCTTCTATTTAACCTCATTTTTAGTCATTGCATCTAGCAAATCGGACCATTCTATTTTGCTCTATATGAATCTGAATTCTGTGATGCAGCCACAGTAAATGTACCCTAAGGGTCTTAGGGTATACAAAGCTAGAAAAGCAGATAGCTATCCAGGAATAAAGTGAGCATATGTTTCCTTTACTTCCATTCCTGCGGGGTCAGGCAGGTGAACTTGGAGTTCTTATTCTTTGGATAGTGGGATGCAATAGAAACTCAGGCTGTCATCCTTTATATCAGCTACGATGAGATAAAGGACATCTTGAATGACTCCCTTCATTCCTTCTACTTTCACCCAAAACATCTTAAGGCTCTACTCCTTCAGTTACTGCATCTGAGGGAGCTTTGTGTCTCCTTCCTGCCAAAGACCAACTTGCATCCCAA